GGCAAAAAAATGTTTTCTGGGACCATGCGCCCTGATGGCAGGACGCATTTTTTGACAAAAAAAATGCACGTGGTCCCACGCGGCGGACAAGCAAAAATAGGCTGGTCGTCAACGTGTTTTAAGAGGGGCAAGGTTTCTTGTCAGATTTGCGGCGAATTGGGGTGGTGCTTAAGAAGTCCGTACTTGGTGCGATGGACTTCACCGTGGCGTTTGTTCTTTGAAGCTTGATAACTCTGAACTGAGCTATTCCGGGTAATATGGGTGTGACTTTTTTTCTTTACCGTTTATTCGCGTTTCAGGTGTCAACAGACTTTGGTAAACACTACAACAGGCATATCAGAGGCTTGGAAAACGCGCTCGGCCTGTTTCATTTGAATTCCATGAGAATTATGTTGGGGCCGCTGAGCAGGATTGCTTAATCTACCAGGACTGTGAATAGCCTTGAAAATTACTTCCTTTCGCAATGTGGAATCAAAATCCATGGTCTTCAGTTGGATTCTTTGATACAATTTTCAGAAATTCCTTTGAGTCGCAACTAACCCGTTTCTACTATTTGCTCAAATTAACTGCTTACCTGCCCATTCCACCGGAGTAAAACGCAAGCAGGCGAAAGAAGCTTGAACGCTTTTTCGAGAATTAATCAGTTGTATTGGAGAAATTGTGGCTAAGGTATTCATCAACCTTTCCACGTCCCAATGTTAAATATAGTTAACATGCCAATATTGCCCGAGTTTCGCTATATCGAGTGAATCGCAGTATGCTAGCTGATGCGATACCAAAACCTACAAAGGACCAATTGTTTTCATGGCTTTTCAAACCAACCTTCCCCATTGGCCATCACAAGGTCTCCCTGTCACGCGATCGGCAGGGATTATTTAGCCGAGGGCAACATTGTGCAAGGGCAGGGGTATATCGAGACTTCAGTGTGCATTTTTATCTCGTCCCTGCAGGTGGAAATGGACCAGGTACTTACCATTCAGCCCCACCTTCAAGGAATGGACCTTCACGTGCAAATCCGACTCCAAGGCCTGATCCGTCCCATCTGTTTCTGCCTTTGCGTGCATGCAGTACTTGTAAAAAGCATTTCAAGGATTTTATACAATACATGAATGTCTTCTCAACCTTGGGACGATTGCTAAACTCTTCGACACTCACAGCTCATATCATTCATAGCTTTCCTTTCCTTTTTTTTATTTTCCCATTCAATTCGATTGGATTTTTTTTTTTTGCCTGAAAGCATTTTTTTCAGTTAGTATCGATATTCTCGCTCGACTCGATACGTTCAATGCAAGCTCACCTCATCGCAATTTTCAAGCATTAGTTTTAAATGTCACAATGGGATAATTAGTTTTATCACAGTGAACGATCAAGGATAGAGTTTGACAATCAAATATCTAATTATTCGCTTGAGCTAGTCAGAAGGAAGAGTAAATGCACAGGGGAAAACATGCTGTGTGAAGTAGGAATCAATTGGGGTTAGAGCGCTTATTCTTATAAAACCTTTTCTTACTTTTATAATAAATTAGTTGTGACATTCTTCCATTTTTCCAGAATATATTATTTCATTAAAAAAACATTGTCTCTGGATCTTTTGGAATGCAGTGCACTGCCAGCCCATTGCAGAGAAATATCGGGGAGGGAGTCAGTCAGCAAAATTAGTAAGGCTCATCACACTTAGATGGAACTCTTCACACCGTGATGAAAGGAAATTCTTTTCTAACTCTAGCAAGCAGTGGCATAGCCAAGGGGACAGGGACAGATGGGCCCAGTACCCTTCCCCCCCCTGATATGCAATCCTTTCACATGTTCAACATGACCTGCAAGTTTTGCATTCTAATAGTTCCCATTTTCCCAAGCTTCCCCGTGGGGCTTTGGAAACTCTCAGGGAATGGAGCTTCCTGGTGCATTACAGGGCAAGCAAATTGTAACCAATCTCAACAAAGTTGGTGTCAAAGGATCTTTTGGGGGAAGTTAATTGAAGGTATCTGATTAATTTTGGTTGTTGCTTGCATCTATACTGGAAAAAAAAAAAACTGCAGACTGAAGGGACTAGCTCATATAATTGCATTCATAATGCATTACTAATTGGTTAGCAAAAAAATTGAGTCAATTAAAACTTAAAAGGCCTAACTGACCAAACAGTTCATGATTAATTGAACTAAAATAGCTGATAGAGTCATAATAGATTTCAAGGACTGGAGATTCCTTCACCTATTCCCAGCCACTTAGATTATGCAGATGCATCTACACATCCTCTCTCTCTTCAGGAACACCATTTATTCCCATGCAAAAAATATGCACAAACTTGAACAAGGTCTCCCTTGAGTTGTCCAGAGGCCTCCCAGTCAACTGATTCAAACATATAGACTCATCAGAGTTTTTACATTCAGTTGGACCAAACTCATCAAGATGAGGTAGTAAATCCCATCTGGAGATTCTTCCAAACTAATCCATAAACTGTTCGCATCCCAAGTTCTTATCAAAATAAAAGAAAAAAAGGACCAATACTTTACATCATGACTTGAGCTGGTTTCAGCCCAAGTTTCTTGGGAAAACTTGCAGACCAAAATCCAACACAACCAAGGAAGAAATGCAGAAATTCTCTTTTTTTTTCTCTCTTTCTCAAATCCATGTTCCAGGAGTCTCAGTCACCGATATAAATAGAGATCACTGACGCTTGGAATGCTTCATGAGGGCCTGGTATTTCGAAGCAGACTTGTAAAACAATAGATATGGGATTGCCAAAGTTGGAATGCACATCAGTGCAAATGCTCCCCAGTCCATCTGCAAAAGATCCCAAATACTGCCATTGTGGATAGTTGAAAATGCAACGAAATACTTTTGAAGGTATATTTTAGCAACTTGAATCTCAAGCAAGCCTTCTTTGTTTCAAAATAAGATACTCCTTATACATATCACTCAGATGCCTGCCTGTCTACATCAAAATGCAGCTTTCAATGTCTGCCAGAATACTACTCCTTTGCATCACATGTAATGGTCTGTGCATAAATCTGGGTTTAAAAAAAATGAAAGGAAACTGCCATAGTCAAGCACAGTGATAATACCCAAGATAAATGCCCCAATAAGTCATCTTCCGCGTTGGGAAAGGATACTCCTTAAAATTGTTGCAATCGTAGTTTCTTAACGATAAATAAATATGGTCCCCCTATCCAACAAGCTTTTGTTGCAAGAAGTGTTTGCAGGTATAAGAAAGTGTATATGAGGGTGCTTTCCTTCCCAAAATGAATCCCAGAGTAACACATATTCCCTTCTTTTGTTCCCTCCACCAGTTTTTTAAATTAAAACTCATTCCCTTCACTCTCAGGAAATCAGCAATATCTACTAAAATGCTAACACCTTCTGGGAATGAAATTAGATGCTTAGCACAAGATGGGATTGTCACAAGATTTCACCTGTGACAATTATAACAGTATACCGAAAAGACTCAAAACTTGATTGGGCATTAACTCTGGCAGATGGAAATGTTTACCTTCAACCTCCTCCAGGAGGTATCAGTGGAGGAAACATCAGCATCTCCTGGGTGTTAGGAGATGCCAATGTCAGTGAAAGGGTTAAGCAATTTTTTTACTAAGAGAATTGTCTTTCTTTTACACTAATGGAGAGATGCCAGACTGGGATATCTCAAAGTTAGCAGAGAAAATTGGGCAGAAGAACCTACTTGTAATATTACCCAAATCAAAATTATTCAATTTAGTGCAACAGCTAAATTCACTTCAAACTTCAAAGCAAATGATTATCATGGAAATGAACCCCATTAAGGAAAATAGAGAACAAACTTCACTCACAACATGAGGTGAGTATCTCCTCTCATAGTCCTTGCTGGACAGGATTCCATACTGGCCTGGGTGGCTGCTGTATCCTACCTGGATCTGCTCCCAAAAAATGAAACACCCTTAGCCACCATTCTCATGAAAAAATTTTTTAGCTTTCACGCACAAAAAAACTTTCAGCCATTAAAAAAAAAGCATGACATGAAAATACAATCATCCTTTAAAGATCCATCAGATAATAAAAAAAGAATGAAAGGAATCTCTTTCAAATAACACAGAATAAACTCTGAATGAATGGTACCTGTGTGGATTCCTCAGTGGGGAGATAGGTGACTTGAGCAGCAGTGAAGTTGTAGTAGCCATATGAACGAGGTCGCACCACCACATTGTATGTGACATTCCCACCACTGAAGGCTGCTGGTCAAGGTTTTTTCATTTTTGCCACCACACAATGGGTTCCATTCATTATTTTTTATTATTGGAACACCCAAATAACATGAAAATTTATCAGGCTAGGGCAGCACTACTAGTATGAAAAATTTACTCCACCCTCATGAGAATGAAGACCTGAAATGTCATGAGAACTGAGCTTATACCAATTTTTGCTGTGCAGCAAGTTTTCACATCTGAGTCACAACTGCAAACCTGTGGCTTTACCTCACTGAAATGGAAAAACCCCCCTCAAACAGTACTTTATGATTTCCAACAGCCCCTTACCACCTTGAATACCATATTTCACAAGACGAATGATGCCACCAAGCTGCATGGATAAGTCACAAGAATGAACCAATTTTTTTAGTTAACATTTGCAAGGAAATATAGACTGCTCAAAATAGCATTGAATTTCACCTTATATCATGAATGGAATAGCTCCATATCATTTAATCTTGTTCCCAAGGTCTGCAGTCACTTAATTTCAGTGAAACTCATCACATTAAGCCCATCATTATAACTGTTGGTCATCATAAACAAAATTGGAAATTATATGATCTGGGGTCAGTATCCTCTGTTTCTTTTAAGACATTATATTGGTCAATACATCAAATGCAAATAATTTTCACCATCCAAAAAATGAACAAGTTCACCCTTAAGAGTGGAAGGCCACATCCAAGCAGTAAACCTTGCAAAGATAAAATAAATCTCCCAATAAATAAATTAAGCTCACGAAAAAAAATTTAAACACGTCAGGAAAGGATACGGAGAAATCCTGTCAAACCTGACACTGTGCTCTCCAACAACATGTTCAAAGTCATCAGGTGGGAACCCAAGGTCGATGAGTCGGACATCAAGTCCTGCCTGCCCGCCCACATTGTAGAGACCATACTGGACCAAAAGGTCCTTTCCTTCAACAAGCATGTTGTTCAACAATCTCTTGGCCACCAAGAGCCTTGCAGGGGACACGTCATCAGCCAGGCTCAGACAGGCCAGCACCAGCCATGATCCCAAGGCCCACACAAGTCTCATTTCACCTCTCCTTATAAAACACCTTTGAAAGAGATATATGGATCTAGTCCTAGTAAGCAAAGGGCCAGCATACATCAACCCTTGGCTCATATAGTCTAGGCAGGGATATAATGCAACTATAAATTCTGAGGTGACTGTTACTAATAGTGAAATACACATTTTGGAAAAAATAATCAGTTGGCAAAGCAGCATGAGGGAATACACCTCCCATTTTTCCCTAATTGCTCTTTTAAAATGCCAGATAATAGCATCATGTTTTAGATATTGAATAAAAAGAGACAGTTCCAATGACAGTTTTTTTTTTATGACCATGGCAAAGAATGTCAAACTAAGAATGAGACGAGGGTTAAAACCAGTAGTTTGGAAAGAATTCAGTCTCTTTTTAAATTAAAACTGATTTAGCTGTATATGGAGACTTGAGCACTTGTGTAAAGTAGATTGACTCCATGAGGGAGGAGAAATACAGGCATGGTAATTATGAGACTTATCTGGAATGGTTATGGAACTGGTTGATAATGATAACTGTAAAAACTTATGCTCAAGCATGATGCCATGCATAAAAGCACAAAGCGAAGGGCATGAGCAATTCCCACCTTCTCATAGGTGCTCCAGATGATGCTGTGCATGCATGCAAGCCAACCCTATCTCAGAGCTAGGGTCAACTCCCTTTTTCCTCTCCCTATATGAATTTGTGCACTGGAAGCAATAATTTAATATTGACCTGCCTAAGGAGGGAACATCATGCTTCTGTGGAGCATACTCTCATACTGCTTTTCATTTTTGGACGAAAAAAACTCTTCAATACTGTACTTCTATATTTCCTAATCATTGATGAAAGAGTTTGGAATTTCTTGAAACAAACTACAATGAACACCTTACTTTGTGCAGTCAAATCATGGAAGAATAAGCCATGAAATTAATGTTTGTGAACTACTATTCGAAACTGGCAAAGCAATGCCTACATGAATGATAACCACTGAGGTAAAATATAACATCCTATTCAAATATGGCATAATGTAAACTGAAGACAAGATTTGGTTTAGGTAAAAGTTAAAATTTCGATCATTCAAAACGTAACCCAGTTATAACTACGCTGCCTATTCACCAGCCTCTGACACAGTTGAAGTCAGCAGTTGCCCAGCATAGGCTACGCCAATACAATAGGCTCAGAACTAGGTCTAGGCCTATGGTAAGAACATGAGTTTCAATGTCAGCATTGGTTTAACATACGAGCTGAATTTGGCCCGTGATACTTTAGATAACGAAATCTCTGCGAAGTGAGAAAGTGATGACAGAACCAGTATCCTCTCATCTAGGTTAAACCTTAATGCAAATCTTCGGCTGATGAAGGGGTATTACGAGAAAAGAAATGCCGAACCGGTGCACCAGGAACGTGGACGCGACACCTGGAGGGAGCCACCATTGACCTCAATGTATGGAGCTACGTGATTGGTTCATGAGTGCAGCGTGTCTTCGCTCATGCGCTGTGACCAGCCACGTGCGCCACGTGGAGTTGCCTTCGTACGCAGTGTTGCTCAATGCTCCTGGCACAACTCAATCCCTGTCAACTGTTGAGATGCTGTGATACTCGTTGAAAGTCATTGTAGCGAAAATAAGGCCCGAATGCTGAAACCTCGTTTGGTTAACAGTTCTTGACGTATACATGGATTCCTATGGGAGAAAAAGAGCTCTTTAGCGTAAAGGCTCCTTCAACTCGCCTAGATGAGGTTTGTGTGTTTGGGCCTCAGTGTCTATATAACAATTAAGAAAGTTGAAATCTCGTACTGAAGCCTCCGCTTTCAAGGGATGGAGGGGGTGGGGGGTGGGGAGGAAGTGTTGGAGGAAACTTCCATTAGGGCCCATCTGAATCTCGTGATGCGCCGTTTCTTGTTTGCAGTGCATAACTTGAATGCATGTAACCACCAGTGGCGGCTCGTCAGGGTAGGCAGGGTATGCAGTGCCAACCCAGTTTGAAATCAGAGTTCTCTATTATTTGCTTATTTATTCTTCGATTAACACAGCTGGAAAGACTTTACCTTGCAAGGTAAAAGCAGAATTAGATTATGTGTTCAGAGTAGGCCACGCTAGTTGCCAGCCTACGATAGTTAGGTTCAAATCCCCACGAATCCAATGCAGGAACGAGAAGAGGGAGAGCGGGACGAGAACCGTAGTCCTGGAATGGGACAGGGTAGGCTTGCCTACGTTTTGCGTACCCAGCAAACAAGGGTACGTTGGACCAACATTGTATTAACGTTCCGAACGTCTATTCAATGTTGACTCAACGTTGTGTTTCAAATTGTTTGCTGGGTAGCTACGCCTTGCGCAGGAAGGTAAGGATGAGAATCGCTTGCTCACGCCCTCCGCTCAGAAGTACTTGCTCGTTGAAGCCTCGGATGTTGTCACACCTGTTCGGACCTACTCTACAATATTGTCATACAGATCGAATAAGGATTCACTAGCCGACCCGTGGAAGACTTTCACGAACCCTTTTGTTGGGAAGAAATCCCGAGTTCGTTCGGCAGCCCTTAAACTCAGTGGCCCTCTCATCACTATATCGAATATAGGCCCAAACATTCCTGAAGGGTTCCGTCCGGCCGCCAGCTTAGTCAAGTTTGACATTTCTGGCCTAGGCTACGATGTAACGTAGTCATGGTCGTCGAAAGGAATTGTGAGGCCTGGGGCAATATTCACGTAAGGGAATTCAACATTTCTCCTCTCCCTGCCGCTTCGAACACAAATCACTGAGTGTTGGAACTCTTCATTGCAAAAGAACGCAAATTGCAAATCGCCCATTTTGCCCCCCCCCCTCCCCCCAGTCTTCAGTCCTGCACATAGTCGGGAACCCATGAGTTCGGTCAGCACTTGGAACATTTTACCCGGCAGCCGCTCTCCCATTCTTGAGGCCGGATCCAAAACAGTCGCAAAGACCCGAAAGAACTGCTCGCTCTCGAGCGAGACGGAGAACCACACCCGTGGAAGACATCCACGAACTCTGGGTCGGCCTAGGCTAAGCGTATAGCATTTTCGGATATCACGAGTTCAGTCGGCAGCCCCATCAACGCTCTGGGCAGCGGTCTCTCTGACGATATACGTCTTGCAAATCCCACTCTCTTATTCACGGGCTGTTCACGCCTACGAATACGGACTTTTATGGAGCGGCGGTTACTTTCACCCCGTATCGATCTCGACGATGTGCGTATCGTCGAAGTCCGTCCCCACCACTTTTCACGTAGGCCTATGAGTTACCTCGAGTCATGAGTTATGGGATGGATACCTCGCGACCGACGACGTCTTTCCGATCCAAGGGTTCCTGTTCCATACTGGTGGGATCCCGCCGTTTTCACCCTCGGGGAGTCGCTCTCCTCGTGAGAATGGCGATCGATGAAAGGACGGGGTTCCGATCGATAAAGGGATCGAGATCCCGATAAATATACGGTCTGATGATGAAATTTACGATGATGAGGTCCCATCCCGGCGAGGAATTCCTTAAGGAACTCCTTCCTCAAGGGATGAAGAGGGGACTCCCAAGTGTAAGTGGGACGTCCCTGCTGAAAAGTCCGTATCGGGACGGGAGCGAGGGGTGTGCGTAGAATGCGACTCTCCCGTTGTAGTATTATGTATGGCAGGGAAGGTCTAATACATAAAATTTGGTTCAGTGGTACTGTATAGTGGAAAAGTAATTGTCAGCCAAATAGGAGGATCTGAGGTCGTTTCTCGGTCGCTCCATTGTATTTCTTTCGCTATGACAACTGAACTCTTCCGCCTGGTCTGTCGACTCCTCCGACTGCCTGGTCCCTTAACACATTGGTGACGGGCTCCCGAGCGTACTACGAGATTTCTCGGGGCCCGTCACCAATGTGTTAAGGCAACGTTGCCCCCCTTTTTGCTCGTCCATAGAGGCATCTAGTTTCTTCTTAAAAAATAGTCACGGCTCGGAGCAGCCACTACGTCGTCTTCTAACGCATTCCACGCGTTCACCACGTAAGAAGTCCTGTTTCGACCTGAGGCGCACCTGCGGCTTACGCAACTCGAGTCGATTATCTTTCGTTCTCTTGCTACTTTCAAACTGGAAGAACCTACCGCGCTCAACATTATCTATTCCTTTAATTATCTTGAATTCCTGGATGAGATCGCTCCTCCTTATCCTTCTCTCTCTCTCTCTCTGAGGGACACCGCTTGCTCGACCGACCTCCGTCGACGCTTCCCTCATTTACCATTACTCGTTGCTCTTTTCCTGTCAACCTGTGTCTGATTCACTCGCTCGTCCTACCCTGGATCCCGTGCGTCTCCAGTTTAAGCCGCAACCTCTCGTGAGGAACGGTATCGAAAGCTTTCGCGCAGTCTAAATAGACGATGTCTATGGGATTCCCCTCATCCCTTTCTGCCGTCGTCCAGTCGTAGAATTCGAGCTAGTCGGTGAGACGATTACGACGTCTCCTAAAGCCGTGCCATGAGAGTCCCGGATGAGCGCGTTTCCTTCGAGGAAATACAAAATGTGGTGGTCCTTTAGGATGCTCTCCATGATATTCCCCGAATTACTCTTTTCGCCCTTCCTAAAGATCGATACGTCGTTTGCTAGTCCTTAGTCCTTAGGTACTTCACCGCACGAAAAACCGCTTTCAAATATAATTCTTAGCGGAACCGATATTTCTCTCTTGAGTTCCTTGACGACTCTCGCAGGAATCCCGTCGGGGTCGGTCGCTGCGCCTTCAACTTCCCATCATACGGTCGTCTCCTCGGATGTGGAAATATCCTTGATGAACGCCGGAGTGACCTCCTCCAAAGTCGGTGCCGATTCCACAGTGAAAACGGAAGCACTTTAAGCATCCCGGGCATATCTTGCTTAATTGCCATCGACTCCCCCCTGTCGTTCGTTAGAGCAGCAGTTCCCAGACTTCTTTGAATCGCGGCTCACTTGCTGACGTTCAGAAAATTTCCGGAATCCAGAACGAGGCATTTTCAAAGTAATCTTGACGTGAAGAAAAGTGATAGACCTTTTCTGCAGAGCGTGTTTTATCCTCAGCGGATGTAGATACAGTGATTTTTATACTGGGAAAATGTACGCGACCCACCTTGATGCCTCTCGCGACCCACAGTTTGGGAACCGCTGCATTAGAGGCTCGATCGATTGTTGACCCCCACCACAAGCATATCGATAAGAAGCATTGGGGTTTTTCTTAGCATCGCTAGCCAGCCGTTCCTGGACCTCTTGTCTCGCAGACCTTATTTCCTGCTTCAACGTCCGCGTGATCCCCCCCGTTCCTCATGGTCCGTTCTATCTCCCGTGCGCATGTATGTATCCCATTTCCACTTTTTATCCCTGATGAGTGCTTTGATATTCCCCGTAAACGTATTGTCTATTGCGAGCGTGCAGTTCAAGCTGTTCCGAAAGGAGAACGAAATCCACAAAAATTTTCTCGCAGTGGAATAAATGATATTTCGTGACCGTGAGTTCCTACGCTTCCCACGCCACCGACAAGCATCAGGTCGAGTCACTCCAGTCGCACCAGATCGACCACAACCACCTGTCGATAATGAAAGCAATTCTGATTATTGCCGAGCGACAGGCATAGAGAACACGCCTTGCTTAATGCACCTCCACCCACGTGGAATCCTTCCCTACCTCAAAACGGCATGGAGGGCGGAGGGGGGGGGGTTGGGGAGACGCGCAGCCTGGGATGCGGGCAGGGAGGACGCTCGAGGGGTCCAGCGGGTCGCTTCGTCTTGTAGGTGTCGGGGCGCTGCGTCTGCCGTTTTCCGTTCTGGGTCACAGGAGGGAATGGTCGCCTTTAAAGGTAACGTCATGGTCATGTTTTTCGACTTCATTGGCTTTATTTATCTAATTCGATAGGGAAATCCTATGAAGTTTCCAGAGCATTTCCATGGGACTGACCTCCTTTGGCGAAACCCTGGCTACGCCACTGCAGACTAGTATTTCTTGACTGGATATCCCGACATTCATGCGTATGAAATGAAGCGCAAGATCAAAAGTAGAACAAAATCATGGACGACTGAAGCAAGTCCGAAATCGGAAACTAACCGAAATTTCAGGGGTTTACTCAGCGCAACCACCTACTCGCACGTGTTCCTCCTCCGCCACTGCAGACTGCAGAAAGGACGTTTTCCCGGTCCCTCCAAAGGATGGATGACGAGGAGCACCACGTGTTGCGCGCCGACCCGCGAAAGAGGCCCGGTGATCAGCCTCATGGCCTGTCTCTTCTCAAGAAACTGTATGAACGGAACTCGAACCTTAAGCACGACAGCTTTGCATATTTGAGGCGGGAGCGAATCATTCTGCTTGACATAATTCAGTCCTGAGTTCTTCGTATGGGTTTAGGCGCTAACGTTAAGCATAATCCGAGGCCTAGGCGCTTGTTAAGTCTTGCGGATGTGTCAAATATTAGAATAAACAGTCTTGGAGGCCCTTTCAAAACCTGTTTATATAGGGAGTCTATCTACATTATGTTATATTCTGCAATCCTTTATATACAGACATGCTGTTGCTGAGCAACTGCATCGGCTGGAATTTCAATGGGATCACAATTTCATTCCTTGTCCTTTTATCTGTGCGCCTTCCTGTCATTTGGGTGAGAGCATAATGGGCTCATAATATGCCTTTTCGGAATTCATCTCATTGTTTTGATAAATGTGTATTTTTTGCCTGATATATGTAGGCATGCAGGTGGGGATGGGTCAAGTTTCCCTCATCATCTGCAATATGGGAGTTGAAAATTATAGGCCTAGGCTAGTTGCCTGTAGTGCCATGATGTCTGGTGTAAATTATTCACGTTGTTTATGAAATTTGAAGCCAGTCAGGTATATCTTCCAATCACAAGTTTAATAAAATTGTAATTGGTAAAGCATTAGTACTCTTCATGTCCAGAGATAAGCTGAGTTACCAGCTTTGAATTTAACAAAGTATGGACTTATGAAAACACGGGAAATGTTCAAAGTATACTGGCATATGTGGCTCTGCTGCAAATACAAGTAGTCACCTATCGACAAGGCATTAACTGATAATATGAGAGTGTGACCTACTGCTTTAGACTCACAGAAAAGAGTTTAGCTGCTATTAAGCTTCATTAACTGAAAAAATCTGAATAAGTTTAAAGTATGGACAAAGTAGTGTCCATATAAGGAAAAGTTTGCAGTATGGACTTTGTATCTGAAATTTGTACTGTTTTTAATTATTAGGAACAGGTGGCAACCCTAAACTGAACAATGAACCTGCTTATTAGTTATAGCCTCAAGCTGCAAGAAATGAACAGTATTTAAGTTTTAAAGCATTGTGCCTCTTAAGTATTTGTGGGTCTGGTGGCTAACCAGGCTTTAAATATAAATTCTTCTTAACTGATTTCTGAAATAATTAATGAAATGCATTTCATGAAAATTATGATGGCATTACACATCTGAATTTCTGAAAATCTGCAAATCAGTATTATTTTTCTCATCATGAAACTGGCTCGATGTTGAAAGGTGTGCAATTGGACCAACCCTAGGGCATTCCTTGCCAAATTATTTGAGATGGAGAATGCAGCAACAATGGAGGTTACATTTGAAGCTCTTGAAACATCTGCTCTCTTAATGGAGCATTTACAGAAATAGTTTCAAGGTGTCTATGTGCCATTCCTGCTCACTGACTTGTGGCTTTGCATTTTGACGCAAACAATGCTGGTAAAAAGCTTAATATACAGCTAAATTACAGGAATTTATTTGTCTTACAGGCATAGATGTACAAAGTCAATTCATGTGAAAACTGAATATTTACCCCATAGGTGGCATTAGTATTTATTTCAGGCATCTTGAAGTTGAAGTAGTGCCTTCCATCATTGCTGTTCATCCCCTAATCATCCCCCAATTCTGCCTGGTTATTCAAATTCATGCTACTAATCCCTAGTGCTAGCATATTGTAAAAGTCTTGCCACTGCTTGTGGTTCCCTCTTCAGCCAGGCACTGGGCATGCCTAAGGTAGAAATAGAACAGTGTCTGTTCTGACTACCTTCGTGCTTCCTCTATCTTTCCTTTCCAAGCCTGGGGGGGAGGGGGGGGGTACCATACCTTATATGAAGGCACAGTAGTGTTGAAAAAAAAATGGTGAGCAGGAATAAGCATGTCAGCAGCGACAATCGATACCTTGGTTCTGTTGGCTCAGAATGAGAGATGAGGGAGACTCATAAACATGCTTGGTAGGCCTGAGAAGGGAATATGAGCAAGAGAGGGTAAATGCATGAGTCCACATGAGAAGAGTAAGTGGGATAAAGAATCTTCAGCTAAAGGAAAGGGACTTGTGTGCCTTCGTTCCTTAGCCCTAAGCATTAGTTTTACTTGTGCTGCTTATTCTCTCTTCTACCTTCTTCCATGTAGTTTCCAGTGCTCTCAAACTGTGAGTTCAACACTTCCTGTTTTGTTCTAAACATGGAAGAATTCCTGTACCAAGAAATCATATGTTATTATTATGGGGAAAAAAGAGTAAATTTTCCAAAGATCAGTACATAAAAACATATATTTTTAATGCAATGTGCATTATCAGTTGGATTTTCCATGATTCTTGTTATGGGCTTACAGCTGAGGACATGAAGTCATTTTGTGATCATAATAAATTTGGCGTAACTCATTTCATCATGTACATAGGGTGTACCAAAAGTATCAAGACTCTGGCTATAATTTTCTTAATGTGTTTGCTATGAAAATATAATCTAATCCAGTTTCCTTCAATGTGTAACAAATATGCAAGGCACACTCAGAAGTACAAGTTGCTCTCTCTTATGATTAACAAAATAACAGGCAGTGAAAGGAACACATGCATCAGAAATTACAGACATGTCAACACATTCAGTCATCTTGTGGATCATCATGAACCTTCTCCATGTATTCCCCTTTGAGGTGGATGCATTTCTGCCACCGTGATTCACACTTGCGGATTGATGCCCTGAACCACTGATTTTCGTGGCATACACATTAAGAAAATTGTAGCCAGAGTCTAAATACTTTTGGTACACCCTTTGTAGTTATTAAAGAAAAGGTGACTTCCCAATAGGCATTGACCAATCAGTGGATATGGATGGTCCCATTCAATAATAACTACACATAGCCTTACACTTCTTTAATTATATTGCTGAATCTTTGCAGATTTGTATGAATGCAAGTGACACATGGACAATTGAAAGTGGAATTCCCATTACATAGGGACTTTTCACATCCTCATCTCTCTCTCTCTCTGCTGAATTGAGCTATCACAAGAGAGTGTAAATGCATGTTTGTAATCCTAGCCTCATGGCTTACTTTTCAGGTTGGATGTTCAACTCTTGAAGTTCCATAGACCTCATGAATGTGGAGGAGGTGGATGTCTCACATGTGGACCTGTAGGAGCTCATCCAAGTAATTGAAGCAATGGCATAGGTTTGGGGGGCCAAGGAGGCATGTGCTCCACCACTTTTCAAGAAAAGTGGCCAAAAAAATGAAGGGAAGACCCATGAAATACATAACAGTATCTGAGTTCCCATGCCCCCCCCACATTGTCCTATATCCCTCCCACTTTTTCCATCCATGCTACACCTATAGAATGAAGCCATGGAAGTAAACCAAAGTCCCAAAAGCAAAAGCTTTGAAGGACCACTGCTCCAAGATGTTCTCCAATCCACATGCACAGCTACTATGACCACCACTCCTGGTTTTGGATGTCCAAAATGCTCATACTTGCACACAATATGGTGCTGCCTTGCAATCCTAAGATGAAGAGCCTCAGCATCCAAAGATTCTCTTGCTCAGCTTCCATCTTCTGGAAAAAATGATGTAATTGGGGATGTTGCACTTCAATGAAGGATGGTGCTCTGAGGAAGAGAGTTGTATTTTCTAAAAAGAGTCAATTGAAGTCTGAAGGTGTAGATGTGCTACTTGCAGTTCCATTGCTATACCTTATAATCAATTATTGGAGACTCCAATACTTCAAAATTAACAAAATTTATTTTTTCTTCTTCTTTCCCCAAAGGAATAGCCAGAGTGAAGGGACGAGGGGTCATTAGCCTTCTACTGCCAGAAGATATGAATGGGCCCAACCAACCAACCAGGAGGTACCCTAAAACATTTCCTGTAACAGCAATCCTTTGGTGAGTTTATCGCTGAAATATGCTGCAACTGATTCCTGCTGCTGTTGGTGACTGTTCTGTGCTGAAATCCTTGCAAAATTTAAAGCAAAGACACCAGAGGAGGCTCCTGTATTCGTTATAAACTATATTTGTGTTTACGAAATGAGATGAGAGTTGCCCTCCATGGTCATAATGCCTGCATGATTGGTGACACTGTAAACTTGATTGTAATTGCTTTCTAAGTGCTCTTTTCAATAACTGTGGAGTAAATCAAAATTAACTCATTCTGTGCATGCTAAGGTTAAAGTTGCTGTCATCAGTCATCACCAAGCTGCCAAATGACTGTTAGATGGTTGCTGGTTGTGGTGGTGATGGTGTTTGAAGGGTAAAAGTTCACATTTGGCAGGTCACATCCTCCTAGTTGGACTACTTCTGAACTTTAGATGTTTGTTTTTTTCACAAATTTCAGCTACAAGACAGATGATGGTATCCTGCATGAGTAATTTAATTTCAATCTTATGGTTCAGATCAATTAATAGGGAATTAAGGCATAGGAATAAAAGAGCCTCTTTTCTATTCAAGAAGGCAGTCTTAATGGGACATGTGGATTGAATGTGGCAACTAAATTTGGCACTCATGTCTGCATGTGATCATCAGTAAACTTTTGCTGATTTGATGCAGTCAGTCATTTTGTGCAAAAACTCTCTATACTTCAGATTTTACTCAGCATTTCCTGATTTCCATGGTTTGCAAGGTGCAGATGAGGTTTAGTTGTCCCACAGTAATTCATGTGACTTTGGCACAGTTGGGTCCTCTGCTTCTCCAATTGCTTCCTCATTTGCAATGTCTTCTTGTTCCAAAGCTTCCTGTGCTTCCTCATTGTTGCAGATTCAGGAAGTATGATGTAGCCTGATAATCTTCATTTTGACACCTGGCACCTGTAAATCCTGTTTAACTCCATGGGGCACCTTCCAGGTACCTAAATTCTAAATAACTCTTAACCCAGTAAGCAGTTTGGGCTATTATCACCATAATGTGGGTCAAATGATTCCCCCAACCTAATTCCACCTATTAGAACTTCATGATGAGGTCGCACCTCTTCTCTCACAGCTGCCATTGCTTCTTCTAGCCAAGGAGTAACCAATAAAAACAAACACAGGAGGAACCTTGGTCCCCCGACTGAGACAATGGGACACCTTCCCATTGTCTAACATTAGATTTGCATAGGTCTTGCACTCAGCCAGCTCATTCACAAGAGGGTTCCACTGGGACTTGCAAGACCCCTGGTACTCACCCACTGCCAGGGAAATGGGCCAGCCCCCCACTTAACTCCTACCAAAAAAGAAAAGAAAATAAGTATGGAATAATACTGCCCTCACCATTCACAAACTATGTAGATTCACTTATGTCTTTCAGTTGAGAGGCAATTTCCTTGTAATATCTTCCTTTGGAAGAACGGAGTTACCCTCCTGCTCTTCCTCATGGTGAATGCCCACTTCGTGGAAATATTGTACTAGGCTGTCAAGATGTACAAGGTGTCCCATAAGAAGTGTCAGGATTTCAAATCTGGATTACCACATAACAAAGCCCAGTAAAATAAAGTTAATATACTTGCCAAGTCTGGAGTGCTAGGAGTTACATTACACTTGTGCCAAGGGATATTCATGCTCTTGTAACACATGGAAAATTATACCCTCCATCTTGCAAGTAGCAATTGTATACACTGCATTACCATAGTTATATTTTGAGAGACCTAATGTTTACATTGGATTGGTTATTGTTTCTAGCCCGGAACACAGTGACACTCTCGTATGCCATTTTCCCATTATTTCCAGTGTTGTTGAAATTGCCTGGCCTTTGAAATCCCCAGTCTTGGTGGTATCAGATTGCTTCCTCTTGGGTTACTTGAAAGATCAAGTTCAAGCAAATAAACCATTGATGATTGCTCCTCTGGAAGACAATGTTATGAACCGTTTTGAGGTTGTCTCCCAAAAAATCCTTACAACAGGGATGGAAACAGCTGTAATCTGTGAACACAAATGCTGCCTATGAGATGGAACACATTAGGACTTTATTTTTCATGTGTAAAATTTATGCATGTTCCTAGAGATACTCTGCATTGTTGTATTAACTTAATTCAACTTTGTTTTGTTTTCTGCCAATGCAATATTAAAATCTTGATACTACTTATACTTACCCTGTATACATAGAAAGATAATAAAAAGAGAAGCAACACATACTTACCATCTTGTTAATGGAAAGGCGAAGTTTTTCTGGTATCATTCTATGCTGTGATCATTCTATGCTGTATGTTGCAAGCAGACTAGGAAAGCCCTAGCAAACCTGGAAACGGGGTTCAAGGGAATGGAGATGCTTGGGCAGGCTGCCCACTTAGTCTGCTTGCATATTCTTCCTGGGAAATTCCAATTTGTCACCTCAGGTTTGCAGGAAAAAAAGTTTTTTCCTACACTGGTTGCAAGCCATGAAGCCCATTCCATTACTGTATGTTGTACCATGCTCCTTGAAGCTGTCCAATCCTTTGATATATGACTGCTGCTGGAAAAAGTAAATAAGACACTTCTAATGCTTCTGCTTCAAGCATATGATCAATCCTTTGGTCTAGAGCAGGGGTCGGGAACCTCCATGTGAGCCATATTAAGATTGAGCTAATTGATCTTGAGCCAAAGATTTTCAAAATAACAATTTTTTCCTGAAGTTGGCAACAGACATGTGCATTCTTGGAGACATGAGAAATATGAGGAACAACCATGATTTTTAGTCACGACTCATGAGCCAAACTTTTCGGCTTGTGAGTAAAATTTGGCTCATGAGCCATAGGTTCCCGCCCCCTGGTCTAGAGGTTGCAGTTGAGTGCTTGGAATCAGGAGTAGAGAGCAGGAGGAGCATTGGGTATAATTTTGCTGGCACTGTTCTTTGTTTTCTCAAGATAATGAATCCAATCTCTGACTCAACCAGAGCTTGATTGGTGAGTAAATTTATATCTTGAATATATCTGGAATTTTTTGTTCCTATTTTGCAATTGTCAGGAATAAGCATTGTTATCACAGGAATCAAATGGGATATTGACAAATAAAGAGAAAAATGCTGAAGAAGTTCTGAGTGCTCTTGTTGCTTCAGCAGGAATGAATGGGCACAAGTGATCAGTGGTTATCCCTTTGTTTCAGGTAACATTGATAAAAACAGATATCATTAGGAGAAGGGTGCTCTCAGTGACAGTTGGGGGAAGTGAAGTATGCCAGATGGGGTACTATTGAAGCCTACTTGCAAGTACAGTACAAGGTGACCAAATGTCCAGTGTGCTACCAATACAGAAGGTGTGGATGCAAGCATGACAACATGCCAGTGCCTAAAAGAATGAAGAAAAACCTATCAAATTCTCTCTGGTTGAGTTGGAATATGGTTGATAATAATCAGTATGCTTTTTTAAGTGGTTGCTTTCTGTGCAGAAAAGAGGGAGTGACTTGTATTCAAGGATTGAATGGCAGAAATCAAAAGCAGTGGTGGTGATGTGTAAGTGAATGAAGCATCCATGATGTTCATATGATGTTGATGGCTTATTCTTGTATGTGTACATAATGTTGAGATAATGGTGTGATATCATGAGGCATTCTCATATAATTGGTTTTTTCAATATTTTGAAGTCGCCAGAGAATGGTACAGCTTAGAGGATTATTTGGTTTATAAAAATTAATACTATCAATGACAATTTTGAAGATAATTCTATTAATCATTATTAATCATTATTGTACAAGACAAATCTGCATAGATTTGTCATGTGCAAGAATGAAGAAGAATGAGCTCATCTCATCATGTGAATGTCCTCTGAGAAATAAATTTAAATAATGCTTTGTAGATTATAATTTTAAAATGATTTTGCCTTTTAAACTCTTACCTTCTCTGGATATTTTTTTATTATTAAAGACAGTTCCATGGTTATTTTTCAAGTGAGAAATATCACTGGAAGAGCAATCTAAGTCATCAATCCCCATTGCCCTGACAAATTATGCGGCTTTTGCCAAATCCACAAGGAATTCTGCATTGCAAGGCCTGCTCTGGAGGATTCTTCATGGAATTTATTATTTACAATCAACAGTAGAGGAGGAGCCTGATAATTTAATCTTGAATTGCAATGAGGACTCGCCATTCTTTAGTTTTCCTTCCTCATCTTCAAATGTAATGTCAATCATCATTTCAGCAAGGAATTGCTTCCTGTTCCTTGCCTGATGCACCACTGCATTGCTATTTATAATCTTATACATTTGAAGTGACACATCTATCCAAAAAGTACCATTGTAGTTTGTCAGAGGTGGCCCTATTGCTATGCAGGCTATTCCATGGCAGAGGTGGTAATTTGACTGCTGGAATACTAGATCAGCCAGTGGGCCACTTCCTGGAAGATGATGCATCTAATTAATGCCAGTCCCCTGGCAGCCAAGAAGTTAGGGGTTGGAGGAAATAGCTGAGTGTGACTTAGAGCATTTGGCCCCCTACCTGATATGGGGGATGGATCAACAGCTCACTTCCTGTGAAATAGCTGGCTCTTCCCCTTTGCATGGCACATAGGGTGATCCCAATGCAGTACGTAAATTCCCCACTTGATGGCATCCATGTTCTCCTGAAGCCACAATTGGAGTCACATCCTGGTAATCTGCTTTATTGCAAAAGTGCTTCCTTCCCCTTCCCTCTTTTCAATTTGGTCTGATATCTGGAAAAAGTGGAATTGTGATATTTTGGTGACAATCTAAGTTTCTTGACATTTTCAAATGTTCAGGCTCTTATGGGAACTGAAGTGAGAAAAAAGGAAGACTAGGAAGTGGAACCTTTGACATTTGATTCCTTGATTCTCTAAGCTTCTGACTCCTACCTCTAATATTGACATAAATCTCTGAGCAATGATGCCTTGTCCCTTAGTGATGTGGGGGAGAGGCTAATGAGGTGTGTTAGTTGTGAACTAATTTTTCATGGAAGTGGTGGGGAGGGGTTTCTTCTTGCTTTACTATCATAACTTAAAAGGGGTTCCACCACCTGTATGGGACTTAGGAAAGTGTTAGGAGCCAGGAGCCAGAAGATGGAAAGCTGGTAGTTGACAACTTTAGTCTATGAAGAAGGTTTCATTTAACATAATAATAGTAATAATGAAAGAGGAGGAAGAGATGGGAGGGTGCCCTTATTATCATGCACCTGCTGTTTGTACTCACCATCTTATAGGATGATGTAAAGTAATGTTGATTACATTGATTCTCATATGCACTTTCTTGACAGGTGTTTGAAGTACATGAGATAAATTCCTGAAGTGGCAAGACTTTGGGACACAAGGGCCTTAGGATGCATTTCAGATTCTCCAGATTTGACAACTATCACTTGGTGAGCATCACTGGCCCAATTAAACATATATGCAGACACACTGAAGCTTAACTCTTGTAAGAGATGCAGGAAGAGATTTTCACAGAAGTCAACCCTGAAACACTGCAGCTTATATTGATTGTAGTTTCTCTAAATGCATACACTAGTCCACACTATGACATCGTCAAGGTGCAGCCAACCAAATGTTGCAAGGCAGCTATGATTGATCTTGTATTTACCCTGAATGTTTTATGCCATCAGGTGAGCCAGATGTCCTCAATTGTCATGTCTTTGCAATTGATCCTTGGGCAATCTCAGAAATAAATGAAAGTGGGCCTGATTGTCATGAGTGCAGTGTGTGTATATCTCATATACAGCTGATATTTATCCTTTATGACTGCCTCTTGTAATAGAACCACTCACCTATTATTCATGCAGCTAATTATGCCAACCAGTAACATATTGGCCCACTTGTCAAGACATTGAGTGATCCTCTTCAAGGGAAAATTGGCTTCTGTCATATTTGTAATACTTGAAAGCAAACAGAATAAGAGACATTTAAACTTGTGAAGATATATTTTATGGGAAATCTTTTGTTTTCCACATTCAATGAGATGCTGCTGGCTTGGGAGTATTAAACTTCTTAGCTGATGGTAATATAATTGGGGCACATCCCATGGATCAATCTCCACGAACACAAATCTCCATAGACCAGACCCTAACCTGCAAAGAGCAAGCAGTTCCATGAGTTACCAATCTGGAATTATTGCAAAAATGAATGTGTCAGACTTCATTGGAAGATTTGCATATGCCTTCAAACTGAAGGATGTTTACCTTGTGATTGGACTTCATTAATGAGCACCTGTATGAGTGATCCATTAAGAGATGGATTCATTCCTTCTCATTCCCAAAGCAACAAATTGTTCTTGGCTTGATGGCTAGGTTTTCAAGAATTGCCTTTCTTTTTTTTGTGAATCAATTATGCAATCTTCCTGAGCAGATATTTTGTAAGACTTGTATCTCTGCTACACCCCATATAATTTTGTTGAAGATGTCCTGAATACTTGACTGATGATGAATTTGTCATTTTGTGCTTCTTTCTTCATCATTACCTCTTAAATTTTCCAGGTGCAGATTTTCCAGATACAGGTGATCAAGGGAAATAGGGATTACACAAGAAGTGGAAGAATATCGATGAAGGCATGGCTTCATTCCTGCAGCTAAGCAAGTTTTGTTAATTGGGATAATTTGATTGACAGTAAATCTGTATCCACAATGGAGAGCAACCATCGACCATGGAAAATGTAGGAAATATGTCAGAAGGATAGAGATGTTCCAAGAAAATGTGGATCACTTTGTCGACCTATGTATGCTAATTAAATTATTAAAAAAATTTTCGAAATTAATGGCTGACATGCAATTTGGCTCTCATAGGATTGCTACGTCAATGAGGAGTCATTTAGGGATTGTTTAATCTCCTTGAATAATGAAATGCCTCATTCACAACAGGAAGAAAGTTCCAGGTTAGATAGACTTGAGCTGTATACAGTTGAAGCCTGATGCATTTTGACTGTAGTGAGTAAAAGTATAATGAATGAATTTGAGGTTTCTTGCTCAGATGTTTCTGGCACTTCAAGATTGCAGTTTATACATGGTTCTTGCACACCTCAATCAGGGAACAGCTTACCTGTAGAGAATTCAAGAGGAGCATTTCTCAGATGCATCTCATTGACCCATGAAAGCTCTTCAACTCATTGTGAGATGAGATGACAATCTCATCTCACAGTGGGTTGAAGAGTTGGGCTACTGGTCACAGGTGCAGGTTGCAGTTCTTACCTAGTCCCAGATGCATTTATATCTTCATTGGTCTTCTGCTATCATGCAAATCATTTTTCATGAGCCAATGTGAAATTTTGGAATTATTATTCATTGTTTCATTTTCATTATATCATTGAATGATTTCTGCTTCCAGGTCAATTGAACTTCAGAATGTTCACTGATTGTATCACAGTCAAAGAAAGTCACGTATCAAATGAAATTGTGAATACTGTAAAAGAATAATCCTTTGGGTTATGTGATTCTCTTCAGTGAGGACGTGCATGGGTCTCATGAGTTAACTATTCTGAATACTTTGGCAAAGAATGAGGGGAGACAGGGGTAGTTTGGAAGAGATGCTACCTGTCTCTCAGTTCAGGGGTACAGGTGGAGAGATGATGATGGTTCCTTGAATACCCATTGGCACATAAAATTCTTAAGTATCTTGCTGAGTCTTGCTCTGTAGAGTCCTGTTGATGTCTTGAAATTTTCATATTAATGTAATATGAATTTTGAATAGGTCTCTCGACACGTTCGGCGAGGTTAAATTGGATGAGGCAAACGGAGAGAGAGATTTAGGAGTTTCTATCGACGATGACCTCAAGTTTTCCTCGCACGCGCAAGGTCGGTGGACAAATGCAACAGGATTCTAGGATACATTCGTCGCTCGGTTGCAAGTAGGACTTCGCGCGTTATTCTTCCGTTGTATGCGACGCTGAAACCGATTCCATTCACCTTCGACGTTTAATC